TCTTTCGTAACTTTTGTTGATTTGAAGTCTGTGCTATCTGATAACAAGAATGGCTACACAGGCTTTATTTTGGTTTCCATTTGCATGGAATATTGTTTTCCATCCCTTCACTTTGAGTCCGAATGGATCCTGTGGGTTAATTGTGTTTCCTGGAGACAGCGTATTCTTGGCTTGTATTTTTTATCCATTCAGCCAGCCTATGTCTCTCGAGTTGGGAGTTAAAGCCATTGACATTGAAAGAATTGATAAGTGGGGTTGATTTCTATTCATCCTGTTGCATAGAACTTTATTGCTTTGTTTTACCTCTTAAGCCATTGTGGTGTCTGGGCTTTGACCTTTAGCTTTTGGGTGATTCTACATTGGTGGTGTCTATTGTGCTGATCCATGTATAGTGCAGATATGAGTACTTTCTGCAGGGCAGGTCTAGTTATGACAAATTTCCTCAGTGTTTGCTTGTCTGGGAAAGACTTCATTTCTCCATCAAATCTGAAACTTAATTTTGTAGGACACAAACTTCTAGGCTGGCAGTTGTTCTGTTTAAGAAGATTGAAGATGGGAGCCCACTGCCTTCTGGCTTGTAAGGTTTCGTCTGAGAAGTCTGATGTTATCCTGATAGGTTTCCCCTTGCAGGTCAGTTGTTGCTTACGTCTAACTGCTTGTAGAATTTCTCTTTCATTTTGACTTTGGCCAGGTTGATTACTCTGTGTCTTGGAGATGTCCTATTTGCTGTGAATCTTCCTGGAGTTCAATGACCATCTTGTATCTGGATGTCTAGATCTCTGGCAACACTAGGGAACTTTTCAATAATTCCCTCAAATAGATTTTCCATGCTTTTAGCACTTTCTTCTTCCCTCCCAGGGATACCTATAATTCATATGTTTGTTTGCTTTGCATAGTCCCATATCTCTCTATGTGATTGCTCTGCCTGTGTTACTCTTCTCTGCCTGTTTAAATGATTTGGTTAGCTGGAGAGCCTTGTCTTCAAGCTCTGAGATTCTTTCTTCTCCTTGGTTTAATCTGTTGCTGAAAATTTCTGCTGTGTTTTGAAAATCCCTGAATGATTCTTTCTTTTTTTTTAAGTTCTATTATATGTTTCCTAATTTTATCTGGTTCTGTAGTGACTTTTTCATTAATTTTCTTATATGTTTTTTTTTTTTTGGATTCTTTTTGTTGGTTTTCAACTTTCTCTTCAATGCCATTCATTTTATTTGCCATATATATTCTGAATTCCATTTTTGTCCTTGCAGTTGGAATTCACTGCTGTAGCTCCATTGTGATCCCTTGAGGGTATTGATCTCTTTTGATTTTTCATGTTGTCAGGGTTCTTTTGCTCATTTCTTATTTGAGATCTCTTTTCTCAACTAATAGGACTAATAGGTTTGCAGAGCTCCTTCCTGTTCCTTGTTGGAAACTCTCCTGCTTGATTAGAGTAAGGGGAGGTTACTAGATGGTGCCCTTTTTTCCCCTCTACTCCGGAATGTTGACAGGCCAGAGAGAGGGGTGTGCACACTAGAAGCCTGTAATGCAGCTGTTTTGATTTGTTCTGTTCTCTTGTGGTTGCCTTTGCTCAAGCCTGTGCTGGATGCTGTTTGGGTTCAGTGTTGGGTTTCACCAGATAGTTGTAGGATGTTCGAGTTGGGAGCTGGGTGAGACCCTGTTCACTGACGCTGGTGTTGTGGGGATTGCTCTGCCCAGGATTTCCCCACAGAGGTAACAGCAGCAGCTGGAGGTGGTTGTCCTGGGTTCCTGGGCTGTGTGCGTTTGCTCAAACAAGGTCACAGTGTACTCGTGGCTTGAGGCTGGGGGTAGGGTCCCTGGCGGGGTGATGGACTTTGGAGCTGTTCTTCCAGCCCTGCTGTGGTGGTGGAGGCTCCGGGGTGGGGTCTTGGGGTCTAGGTGCAGCACTGGAGACTTGGGTATGGTGCCTCAGCCCTGGCAGGGGTTCTGGAGGCATAGAGGCGGAGTTTCAGGCTCTAGCATGAGAACCTCAGAACCGGGACTAGAGAGGAGCCAGAAGCAGATCTTCATAGCAGGGCTGAGGAGCCAGAAGTAGGACCCTGTAGACGGGGCTTTTTTGACCTGGAGGGTAGAATCAGGGCCAAGCAGGTAGGAGACATTTGGGGCCTGGATGGCAGAGTCGGGGTTGAGCAAGTGGAAGGCTGTTCCGCGGGCTCAGGGACCCCACTGATGCCAAGTCAGATGGACATATGTCGGTTCCGGCAGCCCATGAATGGTGGAGTTCTCCACTCCCCACACAGGACCTACTAAAGCAGTTGCCCAGTGCCTCCCAGGTTGGAGCCTGCTGCACCCCGATGAATTCCCATGTTCAGCTCCCCTTGCACTCTAGGGGAGAAGAGCTTGGCTTCAAGTCACTGGTTATGGCTTCGAGAAGCCATAGTCAGTCCACTCTCTCCCCAGCCCAATGGAGACTTGGTGCAATACACCCGAGAGAGCTCAGGATGGCTTTAGCTGTTGCTCTGTCCCCACAGTGCCTGTTGTCTATTGCAATGGCTATGCACAGACTCCAGACAGGGCCCTTGTCCGACCAAGCCTAGGTCTGTGGGGGTGCTGGGAGCCGTCCTGCAGTTGAGTTTGCACTGTGCCAGCAGAGCGAGTGTGTAGCCCCAGCACTCTATTCACCTATTGTTCCCTGCACATTCTCTGATCTTGTTATATGTATCACCCGTCACCTTTTTTCCCCCCACTCTGAGTGTCCCGCATTGCTTCTCTGTGATTTTACAATGCTGCATCAGAAAAGAGTAATCTGTATGTAGGCAACTGCCTGCACCTTTCTTTTCTTTCCTTGGGAGCAGCATACTGGAAGGCTGCTTCTAGTCCGTCATTACCTCCCCCCCATATTGGTGATATCTTCCAAAAACCTCTAAAAGTTGGTTGTAGATAACTAGTTTCAAAACCATCTTATCCTGTTGTTAATATCAAGATCGGACAGATGTTGGGAATACTTACTCATCATATATTTGCTTTCTATAAGGCTGTACTTGCTCATTTTTGTTGTTATTTGGATGGGTGGGAGTGGGTATATTTTAATATGATATGCCATTGGAGGGAAGATAAGATACCCTGGTAAAGAAGTGATGGAAAGGAGGTATTACCAGAGAAATGCCTCAGACAGATCAGGGTATTTCCCGATACTGTTCTTATCTTACCTGCTAGTTGTTTACATGGACTATCTATAAGTCATACTGAGGAGAGTGACCTAGGGCTATCTACACTCCAGGCTCGTAGCCCTCTCCATGCTTCTGAGTTGTGACTTTTCCCACTTGTCTTGCTGCTCTTGCCTAAGTTCTGATGCCTTTTGTGATTATTGTCTATTTAGCCCTTTAGTCTCTACCTTCTGTTGATCCTTTATAAACCTTTCTATTCTACCAGTTAGTTACTCATTGGCATTGTGAGCCTTGAACTTTCCATATTGCCTTTTGATATAATATGTTTTTTTAGAGACAGAGTCTTGCTCTGTTGCCCAGGCTGAAGTTCAGTGGCGTGGTCATAGCTAACTGCAGCTTCAAACTCCTGGGCTCAAGTGATCTTTGTACCTCAGCCTCTGAGTAGCTAGGAGTACATGTGCATGCCACCACACCTGGCTTTTTTTTTTTTTTCTATTTTTCATAGAGATGGGATCTTGCTGTATTGCCTTGGCTGGTCTCAAACTCTTGGCCTCAAGCAGTCCTCCCTCATCAGCCTCCCAAAATGCTGGGAATTACAGACCTGAGCCACTGTGCCCTGCCTTGTCTCCTCACTTTTAATCTCATTGCCACAGTCTTTATATATGTAAATATAGTGGGGAGAAACCAAGAGAGGAGGGGTGGTTAGGAGAGGGTTAGAGAAAAGAGAGCAAAAAAAAAAGGAGAGGTAAATGTGCACGAGGATGGGGGAAGGAGGAGAAACAAGCAGTTTGGGAAGGAAAGAAAGAAAGAGGTCCTAGGGAGGCAGAGGTGAGGGACAGAAGGAAAGAGGTGGGGAGGCTGAGAGCAGAGAATGGTGGAAGAGGGCAGATAGAGGAAAGCCCCAAGAGGGAGTGGAAGGAGAGAGGAAGGCAGGAGAGGAGGGTGGAGGGGGCAAGATGAGAGAATGGAGGAGGGAAACAGCAGAGAGAAACCAAGACAAAACATGCTATTCTCCCTTTTTGTCTCTTCTGCTACTCTTTCTTTTTTAATTAGATAGATATGTTTAACAAAGTGGCTGCTATAGAATATTTTTCTTTCTTTTTCTTTTCTTTAACTCACTGAGTTACCTCATAAAACCTTTTGCTGATTATTCATTTTTAACCATATAGATATATTGGAACAAGTGACTACTGCAAGATGTTGTGACTTTTTCTTTTTTTTAAACTTGTTGAGCTGCCTAGTAGAAGGTAGTCTTTGTTGATAGGGTTTCAGCCTTTGAGCTCTGGATGCTTATGAGGTTTATTAATCTATACGTAGTTAATTTTTGCTTTTATTTTGAGGAGGTGGCAAGAAGGAAGTTAACTGAAAGTTGAAGGAGGTTGATTAGTGCTTATTTTATCATGAATTTTCAATTCTTACATTTTACTGCTTTGGATACATGTTAGGCAAGGAGAGAATAAGTATACTAAGTAGTTACTGTAGTTTCTTAGTGACCAGTGCACAGGTGCCTTTATAGAAAGTAAAAATGAAGCATTATGAAATAATTAAAATAATAACCATCCACTGAATAAATTAGAACATTTTATTGGAAGATGTAGTTTTTTTCCTTTTCAGCTGAGAGATTATGGATTGATCTTGGTTTTCCTTCTTTAGATATAAGGACAATCTTAGATTGTTGAAATAAGAACTACTGAATTCTAAGCAGAAAGAAAATAGGGTGCCAAGCATTTGCTGTGATGGGATCTGTACATATTGACATTTTCTTCTTTGGTGTCTTAGTTATGTGCATTTAAATAATTATGGAAACATTTTAGAATTGCCTATGATACTGTGTGAAATTTGTATTTTTGCCTCTAAAATCTTTTTATTCCTTAGGGCTTCTGTATGTAATGTGTTGTTGACTTGCTGCAAAGATAATGTGTGTCGTCTTTGGGTAGAGACGTTTTTACCAAATGATTGTTTGCTATATGGAGGTGACTGTAACCACTGGACTGAACCAATCAATTTAACAAATAACTTCAAGAGAAATGCTTCCAGTAAAGAACGAGTTCAAAATGCTTTAGAAGTGAGTGTTTTTGTTAGATGTTATTTTCTACAAGTTTAAAAACCTTTGATATGTTACCTTTTTGGTAATATAATGTTACGAAAAATCCGTATCTAGCCGGGCATGGTGGTGCATGCCTGTAGTCCCAGCTACTTGGGAGGCTAAGGCAGGAGGATGGCTTGAGCCCAGGAGTTTCAGGTTGCCGTGAGTTAGGCTGAGGCCATGGCACTCTAGCCCGGGCAACAGAGCAAGACTCTGTCTCAAAAAAAAAAAGAGGCCGGGCGCGGTGGCTCACGCCTGTAATCCTGGGAGGCCGAGGCAGGCGGATTGTTTGAGCTCAGGAGTTCGAGACCAGCCTGAGCAAGAGCGAGACCCCGTCTCTACCAAAAAAAATATAAAGAAATTATCTGAACATTATCTGAACAACTAAAAATAT